TTGCTTTGCGGCACTGCCGTCACTTACGGCCTCCCCGGGCTGGCGGCGCAACGCCGGAAGTGAGTCGCCTGGGCTCGCCGCAGGGCGCCCAGCGGAGACGCGCAGCGCCGTCCTAAGTTTGGGCTGTCCCGCGGGCCGCGGGACCTCGGCGGACACGGGTGGGGACGGTCTTCTGGGGCGCCGCCGCCCCCGCCCCGTGGCTCACCGGCGCCTTCCCGAGGCGCCGGCCTTAGCTCGTGCCCGCGCGCTCTCCAGCAGAGGGCCGTCGCGCGGCCTGTGTACTCGGCGGGGCGACCCGGTGTCCACTGCAGGGGCCCGCGAGACGCCTGCGGGTTGGGCGTCCTCGGGGCCAGCTCGAGATTCGCCGGAGCCGGAGCCCGCCCTCCTCCCTTCGGGTCTGGCGCAGTGTGAACGCAGCCGGCCGGTGGCGGAGGCCGCGAAAGCAGCTCGTACTCCGGTGACCTCGGGTCGGGACACACTCGGTTTCCGCCGGTCCAGGTGACGGCGCTGGGAAGGGGCCTGGGGGAAGGCGGGGAGTGTGCAATACCGGCAGAGACGTGAATACGGAGGTCGGGCCGAGGACGGCGACCAGGACGGCATGTCTGCTGGCCAGCAGGTACGTAGTTAGGCTTCTGTCCTCCCCGAGGAAGGGCTCTCAGGTCCAGGACGGAAGGGTTCATTACCCTGAACTTTACCCTAACCTCTTTAGCAGATTCTGAGGGAGGCCGAGGCCTGTCGTCAGGTGTTGGCCAGACCGCCACATTTGGGCAGCTCTGCCCTTTCTCAGGCATCCTAGGGACGTGACCTTACTGGGCCGAGTTTGGGGGGGGGGAAGCCCCGTGTGCCAAGAGCTGGGCAGTTCTCAGTCCTGGCCTGCCAACCGACCACCCCACGAATAACCATGTTGAACAAATAAATAAATAAATAAATAAATAAATAAATAAGGAGCCAAGCCTAACATTCTTTTTTTCGAAGACAGATTTCAGCTATGGGGCACATGGACTTGCCAGAGGAGAGACAGAAAGTGAGAAATCTGCCCCGGGGGGATGGGCATGCTGCAGTCCCTTCTCCTCTCTGGATTTTGCATACCCACGCACACACACCCAGCATGAATTTTAAGCCGCTGGGCCTGGGGCTCAAACCATGGTTGATTACATGGGAGTCCAGCTACTACTAACGATTACGCAATTTCCTGGTCCCAACATACTCCTTTTTTTTGGAGAGATTTTCACTGTAGGGGCTCGCCAGACAGACAGAGACATAGAGACAGAAAGCGAGAAATCACCCCCCGGGGGGATGGTCACGTCGCAATCCCTTCTCCTCCATTCTCCTCTCGGGATCTTGGGCACGCACGCACACGCGCCCGGCATGAGTTTTAAGCCACCGGGTCCGGGACACGAACCGCAGTCGACTACATGGGAGTCCAGCGACATAGCCATTACGCTAACTGCTGGTTCCCGCAACATACTCCTTTTTTTAAAATGTGATTTAAAATAAAGATCTTGAGTAAAATGAGTTTTATTAAGTCAGCAGGAGCCTGAACATGGATGCCCTTCTGTTGTTAAGATGCCACACAAAAGACACGGGAAATTCCATGCGAAGTTGCGAATGTAATTATTGCTCCCCGCCAGTCACTTTCATGCTGTAGAACCAGCATGTCATTGCAGTGACCCCATTTTACCCATCGTCAGTCCACCCTGGTTCCTCCCTGTGCAGTCCCAGTTGCTAGTCCATTGGGGTCAGTGGGAGGACCACATGAATGCAGATAACTTCTCTAGATTGCACCCTGAAATCCAGCAGACCCCTCGTTTTCTCCACTGACCTCCCCAGGGTCAGTTCTTATCTACTGAGACCAAACGGGGTTCTGTCGTGTGCAGATCGGGCTAACCAGGCGGGGTATGGTGTTTAAGGTGGCTGGATCCCACACAGCTGACTCTCAGGTTCACATCCCAGACCCTATGGCTTGAAAAAGACTCTGGGCACATGTGCGTGCATGCCCAAAATCCTGGAATGCAGAAAAATGAGAAAAGGGATTGTGGCATGGTCATTCCTCTTAGGGGGTACACTCTCACTTTTCTCTTCTCTTCTCTTCTCTTCTCTTCTCTTCTCTTTTCTCTCTCTCTCTCTCTCTCTCTCTCTCTTTTGGCGAGCACTTGCACCTTATGGCAAATTAAAAACCAAAAAGAAAAGGATATGTTAAATAAAAAGAAAAACAATAATGTAATCTCCCCCAGTAGTTTTTCTCCTAGATTTTGGATGGAAAGAGATTGGAGGGGATATTGAGCACTAAGTTAACCAAGAAGCATTTTATTGAAGCCAGCACAGAAACAGGAAAACTTCCAGAGCAACACTGCCCAGTCGTCTTTTCTGCAGCAGCTGAGGTCTACGTAGCTTGGTGCAGATGGTCACCTCCAGCCACACACGGCCATTGGCACTTGACAAGGCGCTAGTGCTGTTGAGGGACTCTAATTATAATTAAGTAGCAGGTACAGGTAGGGTCCCGCTATCGACAATGCAGTTCTAGAGCCTACCTTTCGTTCATTATCTCTTCTGGGTACACAGCGAACCTTCACATCTTCGCCTTGAACTAATGCCTGTCAGTCTCCGCTGTGCTCTGTCTCCACGTTTTCACTACCCGTCTCTGCGTCTGGCCTCCACTGCAGCCAGTCCATAGGCGTTGCAGAGCTCAGCCGTTCTCAGCGTCGCCACATCACTGACATTTCTTTCCTGCTCCTCAGCTTCTGAGCTACCCTGTCCTGGGTTTCCTCTTCTCTGGCCTGCTCACTTTCTGAGTCTTATTTTGTGGTCCACTGGCCTTCGGTGCGAAGCTTGAACATAATTGATTACCCTGATTTTTAAGACTTCTCGTTAAGGTCTAGAACATCATAGGACCAAGGAAAAGTTTGTATTTTAAAGAAAGTTGACCAGCCCTATGGCCTACTGCTCGAGGGACCTAGATTACAGGCGTCTCTTCTGCCAATCTTAGGTGTGACGTTTCCTCTATGGTACTTTAAGGGCATGTGATGGGCATGGTGTTCCCATTACTCGCCAGGTGCTCTGGGACCTTAAGAAAGTTCATAGAGTGAAGGGCTCCTTGGTTTAGCCCAGAACTTTGAGTTTCCTCTCCCAGCACCACCATACCCTAGAACTCTGCTCCTCTACTGTGTGTTCCAGCGGGACTGAGAACTCGCCCACTCCCTTCTGTTCAGCCAGCCCTTCTGCCCAGTCCCAGTCTGTCACCTGTGCTGGCTGGGGTGGGAGTGGGTTGGAAGTCGTCACTTCCATCTGCAGACCTGGATGCAGTCTGGCCACGTGGTAAGTCAGGCTTGCTGATGGCCTGTGACAGGAATACCCCATTCTCCCTGTCCTTCATAGCGGACACTTCATTCTCTGCACAGGATGTGGTGGGGGGCTTGTGGCCCTCCGCTCAGCTTGGTCCTCTAAGGACTCTGTCTTGATTGTGACTCCCACACTCCGCTCTGCCTTGCAGGCCTCAGCATCCAGGCTCCCCTCCAGCCTGCAGTTCACAGAAGAAGACTAAGTGCACAGTGAAGGGTGGGGGTGCAGACGGTGCTGTGGCCTGCCCAGGCTGCAGTGCTCCATAACTGCTCAGGGTGGTGGGGGCGTTGACATCCGAACGGACCTGGGTTACCAGGCTAGGAGAGGGGGCGTGTTCAGGCTGGAGATGGAAGGCCTTGAGGAGCATGTTGGAATGGGTGGGAGAGGGTGTTGAGGGTCACACCAGGAGAGTAAACATCATTTGGCGTTAATGCAGACTTTCAGCCGTGTTTGAGGGGTAAGGCACAATCGGAGCTGCACATGGTGGTCCCCACTGGCCCCAGTGCCCAGGGCACTGCCTGGCACACAGAAGACCCCCGTTCAGACCTGACTACAGAACCACATGGGAGTTGTCATTCACTGAGGCTGACTTGGAGGGAGAGGATCACCTGGATCCAACACTTTGCGGTTAACAAAGATGACATAACTCCCTCCTCGTCCTAACTCACGCCCGTTACCCCTTGTGAAGTCCCCCGTGACATCAAGAGAACAAAAATCTGCCTTCCTGCCGGGAGCGCAGGCCAGTCTGCGGACCCCAGTCCTAGACCAGCGCGGGCTCGCGCCCTCTGGGCGGATTGGCGGGGGGAGGGCCCGAACGCTGGCACCTCGGAATTCCAGCAGGCGCTCCTAATCCTCCCGGCAACCGGTGACGCGCGCCAGGCCCACCGCCAGCCAACCGGGGAGCACGGGCCCTGGCGCCGCCCCGCTCTGCGGCCTCGCGTCCACCCTCCCGGCCCTTCTGCCCCGTCCTAATCGCAGGACGCGGGGGTCTACGAGCCCGCCGAGTGGACGCCACGCGGTGTCCAAGGAGCCAGGCGACGACTGGTGAGGGGACAGAGGGACGGGGGGAGGGACAAGGGTGTCTCGGCCAGCGGTCGTCAACTGTCCCTGATCTCCGCCGCCCGGTGACAGTGACGCGAGGCTCAGTGGGACGAGCGATTGGCCGGGACGCGTCCGCGAGTCTGCGCCTCCCAGGTCTGACCCTCTGCCTGTCCCCGCCTGTCCTCGCCAGCGCTCCCCGGTGACCTTCGTCCTGGCGGACGTCGCCAGCGGAGCCGGATGCTGGGACAGCGACGGTCCCGGGTTCTGTCGGCATTAAACGCCCCTCACCCCCATGGCGTTTTCCGGGCGGTGTCTCGCCTCCGGGTGGGCCCAGAGCTGGGAAAGGGCTCGCCCAGGGAGTCTGCCCAGCAACTCGTGACGTGCGTAACTGAGGCGACCTAGGATTGGCTACCTTGCGGGGGGTGTCTGGAGGGGACCTGTCCAGGTGTGACAACCCTCGACCCTCCTTTCCGAATGGCTGTCAAGTACCAGGCGCCCAGACTGAACGAGTACCCAAGTCCGGAGCGCGCGGCCGCCGCAGGCCCAGGCCACTTCGGGGCAAAGATCCGCGGGACGAGGACTAAGCAGGGCTTGCAGGCCGTTCAGGGTGCTTGGGGTGGGGCGAACCCATGCCCTTACGGGGTCTCTAAAGTCGGACCGTCCAGAGGAGAGCAAATTCTACACACTGAGCAGCCGCACGTCTCAAACCGACGGGTTTAGGGCCTTCCCTGGTTTCCTAGGAGACGGCTTCCGGTACCGAATTTCCCCGGGCAGGGGCTCAGCCCCCTTCGTGCCCTGTGCGGGTTCACAGCCAGTGACGGAAGACCCACAGTTTGGACCTTTGTCTGGTTCCATCCTGACCGTGAGCCCAAGCAGCTTTCGCAGGACGTGCGCGGGAAGAGCTGTGGAGGATACTCAGAGGCCGCCCTCGGGCGCCGCGCCGGCACTCAGGGAGGGGTTCCAGGCCTATTCAGCCTTCTGCAGCAGAACAGTACCGGGCCGCGCCCAGCTCCGCGAGGCCCTCAGGCCCTTCTCCCACTCCTGTCGTGGGGTGCTCCGGTCCCTCCGCGCTTCCGTTTTGCCCCGGTGGCAGAGGAACAAGATAAACCGCGTGGTTTCCGCCCTGCCTTTGGACGCACCCTGCGGCTGCCCGGGCTCCCGGTGTTCCACAGGACAGACTGTGAAGCCAGTACCTTCAAAGCCCGTGTTTCCGGGGAACCAGCAGTTAGCGTAGTGGCTATGTCGCTGGACTCCCACGTAGTCGACGCGGTTCGTGTCCCGGACCCGGTGGCTTAAACTCACGCCGGGCGCGTGTGCGTGCGTGCCCAAGATCCCGAGAGGAGAATGGAGGAGAAGGGATTGCGGCGTGGCCATCCCCCCTGGGGGGTGATTTCTCGCTTTCTGTCTCTCTGTCTCTCTCTGTCTCTCTGGCGAGCCTTGGCAGTTGGCAGAGAGCTGTCATTCCTATTCCCACCGCTCCTTGAACTCATCAGACTGGATCTGCGGCTGGGAAGAACAACTTCTTTCGCAATCCTGGGCCTTCTCCCTGCTGGAGGGAGAAGAAAATAAGGAGCTGCCCCTGGGCCCCACTCCTGCACCCACCTCACCTCCCGGGGCAGGGCTCTGTCAGTTCCCGGTAGGTGGCCCACTTCCTGTTGCTGGCTCTCGCTCATTAATTCAGAACCAAGCTGAGTAGAGGGTGAGAGGGGCGTGGAGCCTGGCAGGGAGCCTCTCCTGGAGGGCTTACTTGGGAAGAGCCCTGAGTGAAGTGGGGGTTTTCCTGATGGAAGGAATTGCATGTAGAGAGGTCCCAAAGCAGGCCCTGGGGGCCCAGTAAATCCTTCCACTCTGGGCCCCACCCAGGGTGTGCATTACTATCAGGGCCATCCATGGATGTCACAGAATCCTGAGACAGCGCATCTCAGCGCCCTGGGGAAGCGCACACCCAGGGGAGCCAGCAGTACAGTCCCCAAGCTGGTGCAGGCTGCTCTCTGCCTCCACCTGCCCCTCTTCTAGCCAGGACAGCTCCGATTCCTTGCCAGGGCCCCCAGATTAACTGTGCATGC